TGGATCAAATTTGTCCTCAAATCATGCCTATGCCAATGAATAATTGCTTCAAGGAGAAACCATTTTAAAACAGAATCAAAGGATCATAAAACCACAATGATCTAAGTGGCCATTTCTGGTTCAAGAGCGATTGGATGAAAGTATGCGCTACATGGACCAAAGTAAAGCTTTTCTAGCTTATCTGCTTTGCAAGATGCAGATCAGCTAGGAATACAAAAAGTCACATTACAGGAGGGAGGGAGTTGCAATGGGAGAGGAGGACAGAGAAAGTTGAATATGGGAATATTTTAAATGATCCAGTTTGGTTTTTCTGACAGTCTCTTTTTTTTTGTTCTTTAAACACTAAATCTGCCCCCTGATGCTCTAAAATGACTTACTGTCACCCATGTAGTTCTTTAAAAACTAAATCTGCCCCTTGATGCTCTAAAATGACTTACTGTCACCCATGTATATTGACTGCGACTTAGATTTATTTTGCTGCAGTTGGTAAATCTACTGCCTGTCCACAGAATCCAGATCACAAAGACATTTGCCAAGGTGAGCAAGCTTCTGAGATTCAATTCCTGGAGGTATTTAAACACACGGGAACTCAAGTGGCATGTGGGTGAAGAAAAACTCCCTTCCCTCTGCAAGGAGTCCAGGATCACACCTGATGATCCAGAAATCCCAGGCTAAGCTATAATTGCATTGGGCAGAGGACAACGAGCTGTGGGATAGCCCAACAGAGCTGAATCTTACATATTACAGAGGGGTGCAAATTCAGGCCTCAGAATTAGTCTGTGGATCACAGGGAATAATGTTTAAAAAGCCAAATACACACTGCGGGTACCGTGTTTTCTTACCCCACCGCTAATTTCGCTGTGATCCACAATAGAGCCGGATTTAGGGCCGGAGTCTGAGCCCAGCCATTCTATCTGTGTCGCTGGCTTGTGCCATCAGCATCCCACTGCCTGATGAGGACAGTGTCTGAAGCCTGCCCATCAGCTTATCCCCTACAAGTCCCCGCTGCTGCTGTTCTGTGCTTGGGGCATTAACCTGATTGCCATTGCTGCCCCCCAAAGAGAAATGCATGTGCAAAACCCGGTTTTCATAGAGAAAAAAAAAGGCCCAATGCAAGAGCGGTCCCTAATTCTGCAGATCCCCTCGCCCCACAGTTTGGATATCAGAGTAGCTGGGACCCAAAGTACCCTCCAAACTAAGGACAAATATCGTCCCACCCAAAGTACCCTGCAAACTAAGGACAAATATCGTCCCCAAACCACAGACTGCTCCACCTGCCACTCACCCACATTGTGTTCTGCCACGGACTGAGGGCAGTACATGGCTGACTACAGACTGCAGGTATATAGGACATCACCCAGCACTGAAATGCAGCCCCCTCTGGAGTGAAATGAGGCAGCTCGCTAGCCACACACAGAACTGCCGGAGTGCTCCAGGCAGAAAGTAGGCACGTCAGCTGTAACTTCAGATAGGCTTTGAGGGCTTGCTTGCCAGAATCAGCTCATTGGCAGCAAATAGACGCACAAAAGCTACCCGGGGTGTGGTGTCTTGGTTGGAGATTTCTGGGCTATTCCCAGCCCCCGATCATCCAGTGCTGCATGTTGCCTAATGACTTTTTTAGTATCGGTAATTGAAAACAAGTGGCTCTGATCAGTAATCAGCATGAGAGCTTTTGAATCACTATCACATGGGGGATGAGGGGCAGAAAGAGTGGTGCATATTTGCACTGTGTAGCTACAGAACAACATGCATGTATCATATGCAAGCGTGACAGGGTGGGGAGAAAGAAAGAAAGAAAGAAAGAAAGAAAGAAAGAAAGAAAGAAATGTAAATCTCTTGCCACCGTGTATGGGCTCCCACTGCCTTAAAACCCAGGGCTTGCACCACACCAGTGCAGTACCTACATGAAAAGTCTTCTATTTGGCCTCTGCCACTCTTCTTTTCCAGACCAGCAGCTCAAGAGGCCGTGAAGCGAAATGGCAAATTAGCACAAAGGGTTGGCGTCTGCCCTCAGAAACACTGAAGTGAAAGGAATTCCTCTGGTTTACCTCAGTGTCACGGAAGGCAGAGTAAGCCCTACCTCAGGACGCGGTGCTCTTCTCGAAAGAAGCCCATCGCTGCTTTAAAAACCAAGCGCTACTGCCTATCCTCTTTCCCCTTTGCTGCAGGAAGGATTCGCTACGGTTATTTATTGAGCCAAACCCTGAGGTTCTTAGTTACTTTCTCTGTTTCCATTCTCTCTGATGTGCAAAGCCTTCCATGGAAGCCACAGGAGAGAGACCTCAGGGACGGGCCTGAGGGGACGGGGCTAAATAGGCCCTCGCTGGCATCTCTTTTCACCCACAAGTGCGGGCTTTCCTACCCATCCCTAGCACCCGGCAGTTCTTGGGCACTGTGCCCACAACCGGCATACGGTACCTGCTCCGTCCGCTCCTCTTCTCTGCGGCCCGCTGCAGCAGCCATGGGGAACGGGGCCACCTTCTCCCACTCCAGACAACTCTCCACAACCCAGCTGCCACCTCCTCTGCTGCCGTTTGCCGCTGCTGCATGGCCCAGGCCTCTCCTCCCCAGCTGGCTGCATCTGCTCCTCTCCTGTGCCTCCTCCCTGGCGTGGCTGGTCACTGGGGCTGCAGGCAGGCAGGAGGTCCCTTTAGAGGTGGAAGGGCGGCTTTTTATGCTTTTCTTCCTGTATAAATCAGGATTGGAATGGACAATCCCAGACAGGACTTCCTGTGTGTGTTGCTGGCTGATAACGAGCTCAACGAGCAGAACAAACACAGGGGACGGCTCACAGTGGGCCGAGAGAGGGAGAGGACCCAGGGATGAAGCGTCCCCCTCAGGGCTCCCCACCCTCCGCTCCCAGGGACCCAACAGCGTCCTCGGGGGTCCCCTGAGGAGACGCACCCACACCCCCTGGCCGACAGGCCTGAGGGAGGGCAAGGCCTAGGCATGAGCCCTCGTGGGCTGCCCCAGTCACAGCTAGAGTGGAGGCCAAGAGCGTCTCCAGGCCACCCCCAAGCAGTGTGGTGCTGGGACCCGCAGACTGACGGACACAGACAGCCCCAAGTGGCTGCAGGGAGAGCCCCTCTCTTGGGCTGCCCGAGCTGCACTGAGGGCCACCCCCAACGGGGGGAGGGAGTGTTCAGAGACACTGGCACGTCTCAGCTTTTAGCAGTGGGCCCGGCCGCTCCTCTGGCTCAGGGCTAAAGCCAGTTCGTTAGCCCTGCCACCTGAAAACACGGTCCCCCTGCTACACAGCTCTGAGAGAGGCGTTGCGGGACAGTGAGGCGGCCATTTCTATGGTACGGACTTCCCTTCCCCCATCCCGGAGCACATCCTGAGGCCTTCCTTGGACATTCTGGCTGTGCTCCGTCAGGCCAAGACGGAGCGGGACTTTTTGCTAGAAGTGTTAAACCCCTCCAGGAACACAGCAGCCTGGTTGCTCCCCTCCTCCCCCACTGAATCTGCTTATATGCTGGAGGTACTTAAACACACAGGCCCTCACATGGCGTAGGGGTGAAGAAAACCCACCCCACCCCCAGCACCTGGTGAGCCATAAAACCCTGGCCAAGCTGTCACTGCAGTGGGCAGAAGACAATAAGCCTTTCCTATCTGCTTCATGGGTTGGAACGCATCCCAGGGCAGCAGTGACTGGAAGCCAGTTGCAACTGCTGGCCGTCTGGCCTCCTACAAAAAGCGAGTCTCGGTCAAGTTCCCAAGGGGGAGGTGTGCGTGGCCCCAGCTGGTGGCTTGCTGGAAGCCAAAGACCGAATTCTCCTCTCGCATTGTCTCTCCGGGTTCAGTTCCGAGCACACTGGCGGGAGAAGCTTGCGCGGGAATTTTTTTTTTATTATTCTCGCCATACCCCTTGCGAGATAAAGAAGTGTTCCTCCCATTTTACAGAGGGGGAGCTGAGCAGCAGGGCTGAATAAGTGACTTGTCTCCGATCAGGTAGTCCACAGTCAAGCTGGGAGCTGAACGTAACAGACTTTCCTTTCTCCCTCAGTATTTCATCTAGAGTGCGCCATCTGGTACTTAGCACCTGCACTAAATGCACTGGAAAACAGAAGAGAAAAATATCGGGATGCATAAGATTACAGCGCATCGGAAGACAGGAATGTTGTCAAAATGTCTCCAAGCCAACCCACCCCTTTTTGCACCCAAATTTTATGAGGATTTCAAAATGTAAAGTTCACCCAGCCAGCATGGGTCAAAGATTGGAAGAGAGTGGAGCTAGAAAGTCAAACTTTTCCCCCTTTTTGAAAATGTGGAAATTCACAGTTTTGATTGAGAAAAGAAAATCACATTTTGAAAAACGTGCTATGCCTTGTAAAATATTCAAAGCCATTGCTATGTTTACCTAATCCTCTGGAAAGGAAATAATCTGAAAACACAGCCCACATCTTTACAGCTGTGCTGCCTCAGTTTCTCTATGCTGCTGAGGGAGAGCTTTTTTTGGTATGCCTGGGTGTGTTTCTCCCCAGATTCAGATAAAAACATTTAATGCCCGGACATCCTCTTTCAGCACAGCATTTACTCATGTGAACAGGCTCCTTGGCATCAAAGCTACGCCATTCCTGTTATGTGCATACTTAACTGTTCGAAGGTCTTGAGACAGCAAAACACTTTAGCGTGTGTTTAATTTTAAGCCTACATGTGATCGCTTCCCTGTTCAGCAAAACACTTAAGGCAGATGCATGATCCGTGAAAAGCAATACAGAAATGTACCTCACCAGAGCAAGGTGGACAGTGTTATCCCAGATCAGAGACCCTGCAACACCAGCACATTCAGATACAGAGATGACCTGATGCTAAACTGTGGGTTCAGCTGTGAGTGATCTCATGTCCCCAGTTTCCCCGGCTACCAGTCTCAGCCCCCCTGAGTTTATGAAAGTTATCAGCTCCTGTGGCTCGGTCTAACCCCTCCTTTTCCAT